TAGAGATTTGGTGGCTAGATGATCATGCTAGTGTATATTTGTGTGGAATTCCTTTGAAATGATGTTATGTCTTCATACTTTTATATATATGTGATATTACCTTAGTTTTGATACTTTAGCATGGTTATTTGTGATAATAGACATTAAATGAATTATATTAGTTGCTGAGATTTTTATCTCACCTGTGGTTATTCATATCTTTCAGGTTTTGGTACTAGTAGGTCAAAGGGAACAGGCATTGGCTAAGTAGAGATCTCTTACTAAGCCTTTGTAAGGTTTTAGGTGTAATCAAGTTGTTGTTATTAGCATTGAGTATGTATAAGTTGTCATAGGATTTATATGTGTGCATAAAGATGTGATTATTGTATGTGATGATTTGAGATCCGTAGCCCTTATATATGTGAATGGTAAAATAAATGGATAGGCTAGTGGACGAATGTGCGTATATGTGAATACAAGGTGTTTGAAGTGTATGTGTAGTGATTTGGCCATGTATGAGAATATAAAAGTGAAAATGACATTTGGCCTAAAAGTGTGAAATGGGCAATTTACAGGCTAAATAGGTGTATGCATGTTATGCTATGTATATGTATGGTCAATCAGGTATATATTGTCCATTTGGACGTGGTTAAGGCCTAAAAAGTGGCCAATGACATTTGGTTGTGAATTGAGACACTTGAGTGACAAGATTTTGGCAAAAAATGGTCAAAATGCACTTGGGTGTTCAATTTTTGATAGAAATATTGAATTAAGTTGAAATTAGTGTCATTAGTTAGATTTTGAAACAAGCTTTGTGTAGGCACTTAAACCATCCCAATTGGGCATCGAATGTGGAAATGGCGCGCATCTGAATTTCATATCAAAAACTACCATTTGACAGCAAATTTAGTTATGTGCACCGCGGCGTATGTACCAGCATGCCACGGTGCACAGTACAGGGCAAGCGACTATGGCCTCTGTGCCACATGCTGTGATGCATGTGGCTCGAGCCTAACGCACAGTGCTAGATTTCATTTAATTTTCCTATTTTGCACATGGATTCTTAGTCCTTGATGCAGACATAGATATTACTTTTGCTATGTATTGGGGTTTTATAACCCAAGTGATTTATAAAATAATTTCTGAAAATCTTTTATTGGGATCTTAAGGTTTTCAAGATTTTCAAAGTAAATGATTTTGAATTAATTAGAATTGATTGTAGTGGAGTGTATGGTATTTTCAAGAAAGGGCATTACACACTTGGTCACTCTTAGCAGTGTTCACACTTTGGGACAAACTGTCCACCACAAGCAAATGCAACAAGATCAAGTCAGAGTGGTGGTAGAAGATGTAATAATAGTGAAGCGCTCATCCCATTCCTTATTGATGAGGTCAAGACTGTGTCTGAAGCTATTAGTACTTTTATCTTGTGGCCCAAGAGATTTGTGAGTATGGTTCAAGTTGAGGTACATTTTATTAAATATTTCATACATTTTATTAAATATTTCTTTCTTATATTATTTTTTAATTAACTATATCTCTTTCCTTTTTAGCTTCTCTTACCAAATGATTCCCTGCCGAAACTTTCACAACCCTTATTGCAACTGCAGCCACCGCATTTAACTCCTTTCCAACAAATAATTTTATTTGCCTATAATAAATTATTTCAAGAAAAATAATTGTGCAAAGGAAAAGGATGTTGTGGGTATGGAGAATCTAGTGATAATTGAAAGGGAAGATTTGAATCAGCTTCTCTTGAAAAGTTAACTAACCACAACGTCAATTGAGCTATTTATGCTGTAAGTATGTTTTTCTTGAATATAATTAATTTATCAAGTTCAATCAACCAACATGATTGCATTATCGCAAGAACCTCTATCATTTGTGCATTACATCGGGCAAAGGTGAAAATTTTAGACTTCTTTACCCTCATTGCATAACGTAGAAAGGGAATACTTTGGAAATAAGATCTCGGTACCTCCAGCAATGAATATGTGAAGTCAAAAAGGATCTTTTCATAGCTCTATATGTGCACTCGTAAGGACCAATTTATGATTGATAGTTTTTTGTTAAATGTGGATTTGTTCTAATAACTCACCCAATTTTGTAAGGACCATTGTCAGCTGATTGTTCTTTCATTGAACAGTAACACATTTTATCTTTTTATGCTCCCTCCATTACCAACCAAACAAGGACATAAAGAAGACGATAGACTCGTAAGTGTACTTGTATAAAACTATCAATTTTTATAGATATATTAGTTATAAATATCATGATGTTGACCATAGGCAATAAAAACATATTAAACAATGGTCCCGAAAAAGCATGCACATGAACTAAGGGATCATATATGAATCGAGCCAAAGGCAAGTTAAACAAACATTTTATTAACTTATTCAATTATTGATATTTATTGCTGATTTCCAATTAGTTATATATATGTTTTTATATAGAGTCATAGGCAATCATAGAAGACTAGTTTATGCAGCGTATATATAATGAGGCACATGCTCAATATCATCACATTAGGAATGATTGAATTTACAAATGAGGTAACTATATTTTTTAAAAGCTAATTTCATTGTTATTTGAATTAGTTAATTTTTAATTATAATTTTATACTTTAATTTAGATGTTTGATATTGCGGATCCATTTTTTGAGGAAGAGGTTGACAATATCCTCACACGTTAGATACAATATTTTGTTGATGGTATGTGAGGTTTAGATAGTTTTTTAGGTAATTGTATAGAACATTTGAGTTTTGTGTAATTTCTATAAAATTTTGTATTGAAATTTTGATTATATATATGTACTGGAATTGGCTGGTTGGCAATAAATTATATAGAACATTTTCAATTGCAGAAATTGAGAAAATAAATGAAACAAAATTAATTTTTTTAAAAAATAAATCTCAACAACAAGTATATCTATAATTGCTGTTAAAAGTGTTCTGCTTTTAACAATGGTTAAAGACACAACTGCTGTTAAAAGTTCATTTTTAACGATCGGTGTGTCTTTAACCGCTATTAAAAGGAAATTTTTAACAATGGTTATAGGCAAACCTGTTATTAAAAGTCTACTTTTGATAATAAGTTTGCCTACAACTGCTATTAAAGATTCCCTTTTTTTAAAAAATGAAGTGAATGAGAAACTTTTAACAGCAGACTTAGAACCATTATTGAAAGTTTATTTTTAACAGCGGTTGTCCAACCGCTGTTAAAAGTCCCGTAGTCTTAATATCTCTTGAAAACAGCAGTGGTTCTATAATTGCTGTTAAAAGTCTATCCTGTAATAATGACACTAATGATAATTGTTTACAACTTGCAACTATCTTTAGAAAATTTAGCATAAAACATTTTAGGAGAAAGGACAATTGTGTAATATTATACTTCTATTATGGACCAATTATTTTTTTGAAATTTTACATTTCTTGGTCGAAACTGAAATTAACTTCAATATAATGATATTCTAAAATATCTCAACATAAGCCGGAGATATTGCGTCTATGCCACCAGCCCACCATATTCCCTCCTACTATAATTCCTATTTCCTCCTGCTATACATATTTTTTGGTCTAATACTCTTATATGCCCCGAAAGCAATGACTTAACAGTTATCCAATATTCTTTGGCTCGCATATTCTATGAGATCTCGAATACCGTATTGTTCATATGGATTTTATTATTTAGAAGCTGACATTGAGTGCTGAAAGAAACATTAAAAGGAAGAGTTCACGGGTGACAACAGATCGAGAATCCGTGAGCTTGTACAGTATATTAAGTAGTAACAAAGCTAAGCGACAAGGACCCTTTCATGATGAGCTAGACATGTGTTGGCTTCTTCCCCACTCCGTTTCTCTGTTGTCAAAACACACCCGTGACTCAAAGGTCCAGCCTTATATTATAATAATAATAATAATAATAATAATAAGAAGAAGATTGAATGGGACATCTTGCTCTTTCGTGCCCTTTGCTATTAATTTATTCATTCCTTTTAATTACTTCAGGAAGCCACCCCAACTCAGCTCCTCTTCTCAGCACGTATTCAAGGTGTGTGTGTGTGTGGGGGGGGGGGGGGGATCCACTTATGGGAAACTGACAGTTACTTTGGTAATAGTTTTATTATGCTATCAAAAATAATCCTTTTCTTCTAATAATAAAAAAATAAGCCTGTTCAAGAGGTACATTCAAAATAATAAATGTTGATATTTCTCCTAGTCAAGATTTAAATATCAAGTTTGTCACATAATTAGTGATTAATCCTTTTTTCATAAACCCTACTCTTATTAGTTGTTTTTGTAATATTTTATTGTCTTGAATGATTCAAATATGTTTAGAATAATTTTTTTAGTACAAAGAGGAGGCTGCTTTGCGTTCAGAATAATATTATTAATAAGTATAAATCATTTAAATTGATTTAAAGTTTAAATTAACAAAATACATATGAAAAAATAGATGACTTGAATCTATAACCAATATAACGACGCATCCAAACAAACGAAATAATTCAATATATGGAGCCCACCTCCTGGTCGACTAACAGCTATGAATGAATTTTCACTGATTCCACTAGACCACTACTCCATCTGCTTGTCTAGTCTGTCGTTTTATTTGCATGTGAAGAAATCCCTGATTATCTATTTCTTTAGACTTTTTTCACATCTAAGTTATTTGAAAAAATATGTATTTATTTAAGGAGTTGTGTGTGGAGTGTGGTACCTTATTCCATGCGAAAATACAAGAAGCACGCATCATTGTTGAGAAATAAGAATTTCTTAGTCAGATCAATATTTTATGTTTGACAAATAAATTCAAATTTCTTGGTCAAGGTTTCACTAGTGGACTAGATCAAGGAAAATTGACAGATTTTGTATTCTTCTAACTTAAATTGTATGACAAAAATGAAACATCACATTATATTCTCAAGTACGGCTTGCCCGTGTCCACAACTTAATCTGAAGAAATATACTTTTTGTGCGGCTGTGTATGATGAAAATATACAAAACATGCAAAACCATGTGAAACAGAAGAAGCTGTTACTGAATTGAAACAACTTGATTAAAAAATTAGATAAATAAACACATAATGTCATGCTATACATAATTTCTAACTTTTGGATCTGGAAACCCTTCTGATCAAAACAAACAAACAAAGCACCCGATACAACACAAAGAAACCAAGCAATGCATACACGTTAGTCCATCTCTCTGCCTCGCTGAGTCCTCTCTTGTTCATCACATCGCTTCCTGTAACCATACACTCTCCATCATTTTGTTCGTACCATATGAAACACCTCGTAACCAAACAAGAGTATTCGTTGATGAGAAGAGCATCAAGAGCGTACTTGTACATAGAAAAGAAATGCATGAACAACCAGTATTTGGGCAAGCTGTCCTTGGAGATGAAATAACCGGAAAACAGAAAAAACGCAGCAAGAAGCACAGTCATAAGCGAAGTGCCAGCAATGTAGTTAGGCGCAATAGAGCTTAAGAAGAGGACGAATGAATTAGCCATTAGAACTATGAGCCAAATGACTAAAACAAAGTAAGCAAAGGAAAGCCAAGAAGCACACAAACCCACTAAGAAGTAGACTGGAATAGAGTAGATGATAGCAACTGCGAGTAAGTATGGCAAGAAAACGAGTGTGTTGGCAATGATGTAAGATGATAGCCTATAAACCCCACTTGATGTTTCTCTAAGTAAGATCGGTCTCTCTCCGATGAAGATCGGAAGCGTTTCGGTGGTGGAAGAAAGAAGGAAAGTGAGAGTGAAAGCAAAAAGACCGAACCTTTTCTCGATGCCCTCCTTGTCGAAGCCTATGTCGATGTAAATGGTTCCAAGGACAAGGCCTACGAGAAGTGCTTCTATTGTGTTGGTCAGAAGTAACTGCTTTGTTCTGTAAATGATCTTCCAAAATCTGCCATACAGAGCGCAGATTTCATGGACTCTTGAGCTCCTATATCGGATCATCTTTCTTGAAGGTAAAGTGGTGGTTAAATTTTGAGATGGAGAACTTGCGCGACTGTGATCTTCATCAGTAGTGTCGTTCATGGGTTCAAGCTCATCTAGTTGGCTCAATATTTCCATGGAATATTCTAAGGCGTTGAGCTGAGGAGGGACAGAGAAGCCATTTGTATGAAGAAAACTCTGAAGCGAAGCAAGACTTCCATGGTGAACTACTGATCCTTTTGAGAGAAGCAAGATTCTATCAATGACAGACAAAATCTTGAAGCTTGGTTGGTGAATAGATAGCACAATGGTTCGGTGACGAGAAACGCAGATTGATTTCAGAATCTGCATGACGTTGAAAGCACCAGTGCTGTCAAGGCCGGAGGTGGGCTCATCCAAAAGCAGCACGACAGGGTCGTGGAGGAGGCTGAGGCCGATGGAGACCCGTCTTCGCTCCCCACCGGAAAGCCCATCGGCGAGCCTGGTGTGAGCTAAGTGACTGAGGCCAAGCTCGGCGAGAAGAGAGGAGGTGTCGAAGGGCTTGGGCTGGAGGAGGCGGGCTGCGAAGGCGAAGGTCTCATCCACGGTAAGGAGGGGGAGGCAGGCGTCGTGTTGTGGGACGTAAGAAGAGAGCTTGCGAAAGGAGGAAGGATTGAAGGGGGAGGAGTTGAGGAGAAGGCTGCCGGAGGTGGCTGAAGTGCGGGCGGCCAGGATGTCAAGTAGGGTGGACTTGCCGGCGCCACTTGGGCCCACGATGGCGAGGATCTGGGAGGGATAGGCAGTGAGGGAAACGTTCTTGAGGATGTAAGAAGGAGGCGATGTTGCGGTGCACCATTTGAGAAGCTGCAAGAATGTGGAAATACTCATGGTGGTGCTTTTGGCGTAGGAGATTGAAGAGGCTGTTAATTTGTAGCCTTTTGGTGGTGGTGCTGGCAGAGAAGGCCGGTGATCTGCCATGGAGAAGGGAGTTGGTAGTCAAGGAGAGAGAGATTGTGGGGGTGCTATCTGATTAGTTTCCATAGTTGAGTTGAGCCTCTCACGTTGATATATTCTTTGAGAGATTTAAGTAAGGGCGCCTAAATGAAAGGGAGAAAGATGTTGTTTAGGTGGTTGTTGCCTTTTTATTTATCTAACATTATACGACGTTTTTGGTGGCCAACAGCCTTCTATTTTATGGAGTGAATGACAATAAAGTCCAAAAATAAATGAATAATAGTTAAGTTCTCAATAAATTTTTTTTAAAATAAACTATAAATTTCAATTCAAATAGTTATAAATTAATAGGAATTTGAATTTAAAATTTAAATATTGTATTTTCAATTTGAACATTTAAATTTACAATTATTTACAATTGATTCTTCAAAAAAAAATTATCGAAAACCTAACTATTATTAATGTTCTCTTCTGTGACTTAATTCTCATTCTCCCTATTTTATTTTCCATGATTGACAGTGATCTAACCTTCATTTAAACAGAAAAAATGTTATAAGTAAGTAGGAAAATATAAGATTGCTCTCACACACACACACACACACATATATATATGCAGTGTATTCCTCAAACTCTATTATAGGTATTAGGTGGCATTTCATTAATTATTAAAACACCATAAGACTAATGTAAGAGTGGGGACGTTTTCTTTTGCAAACACCACTTCTTTAATTTTATTTAAAAAAAACTAAGAGAGGTGTGGTGTTTACTTCTGATGGAAATGTCACCCCTATCCTTAATAGAGGTTCCGTTTTCAATAAGTACAAACACCACTTCTATGATATATTTGCCATTCTCCCTATTTTATTTTCCATGATTGACAGTGATCAAACCTTCACTTAAACAGTAAAAATGTTATTAGTAAATAGGAAAATATAAGATTACTCTCATATATATATATATATACAGTCTATTCCTCAAACTCTATTATATCACTACCACAAAGATAGTATTTGGTGACATTTAAAGTTTTAATTTTATAGCATTTATAAAATGCTATAAGATTTAATGCTATAATAAATATTAGGTGGCATTTCATCAATTATTGAAACATCATAAGACTAATGTAAGCGTGAGGGCGTTTTCTTTTGCAAATGCCACTTCTTTGATTTTATTTAAAAAAAACTAAGAGAGGTGTGGTGTTTACTTCTGATTGAAATGTCACCCCTATCCTCAGTGGAGGTGTCATTTTCAATAAGTACAAATACCACCTCTATAATATTTGTTTAAAAATTAAAAATTCAATAGAGGTGGCATTTCCTCTATTAGCATTTCTATAGTTTGGAAACACCACCTCTTTGATATAATTTTTTAAAAAATTAAAAGAACATAGGTGGTGTTTTATGGAAGAAATGCCACCTAATGTATTTTTTTAAAATAAATTTTACAAAATTTTGTACACCTAAATATTTCACCAGAATGACAAATCCAACAATATATAACCAGTCCAACAATTTGCAAATAATCTAGCTATACAATGAAAAGATACACAACATATATTTGCAATACAATAAAGTAGTTTATAACTATATTTCTAATTTCCCTGAGTAGGTCAACATATCTAGCAGTCTCTAATCTTGCAAACTTATTTAACAATTATCAGTGTTTTGGCGTCTTAAATTCAAAACAATGATGATCACTTCTCAATTAGATCATAAATTTACTCATCACTATATTCTAAACATTTTATATCCTCATAATATTACAAAATGTATTAAAACAAAAAACCATATATAACTAAAAATTATCAAATCCAAATAAAACTAAATAAAATTAAATAAATTTTCATACCTCAAATTGGGCAAAAGTTTGACCATGAGTAATCACATCCTTTATGAATTTCATTATGTAGTACCCACAATCATTATCATTTGGTTGGAAAGAGGACTAAAAAATTACCAAAAGGTAATGTAAATTTATGAAGCAAATAGATTTATTTTTTTTATAATTCAATAAAATCTTCATGTATAAATATACCATAATATTTGTCCATTATTAAGTCTTTGAGAAGTCTTTATTTTTGGAAAAGGAGAGTTCTTTGTGATCCTGAAAACTATTCGATGCCTACCAAAACAACGAAAATTAATTAATGATCATAGGTGCAAATATATATGAATATGTAAAATTATTCTTATAAATATAAATACTTATTAAATAACCTCAACATATTAGGCTGATCTATTGGTATACCTCCATATAAAAGATCGAGGTAATAAAGTATAGGTAGAGGAATAGCTACAGGATTAATAACAATCAAAATCCAATATTTTCTAAAAAATTTAAACTTTGAAAGTCTTAATAAAATTGAGGTATCTTACACGTTAAGAAATTAAAGAAATAATTAATAAAATACTTATCATGCATTGCAAGGTATTAAGAATGACATATTTCTTAAAAAAAATAAAACTTAGATTATGACTTAATACCATCCTTACTTTTTCATAGCAACTGGAGCAACGTCCCAATGACACTGTCATAGGCATTTTTTTATATGCATCACATCAAGAAAATGTTTGACATGTAAGGACTTCTAACATGGTAGATAAAAAAAATCAAATTTTTCTTCCAACTACTTGTCGCAGCATTTTTTGCAACAGGTTTGCTAAAAATATAGTTGTCAAGGTCTTTCACCTTTTCAAACATATTCATGCCTGTCAAGGGCCTAGGCAGTTTCCCTTCTTTGAAGTTACCATTGAAAGCTTCTCACCACTTCCTCTAATGATATATTCAAGGTAATTAAGAATCTACGATATCCCATATAAACATTTTTTTTACAATGATCCAACCATATTGAGTGAGTGTCCTTTTCACATATAGGACATGCACCATGTCCTTTAATTCACCATGTGTTTTTGATAAAGCTAGATTAGGCAACAAACCTAAACAAAAACAAAGTATTATAAGAACTTTGTTCTTGCCACTATAACCAACTCACCTGGGTCCACTTATTCTCATTGTAACAAGAAAGGACACATGAATAAGTCATGTATCCATACGAAGCAAGAGTTGAGTGAAAATATAAAGTGAGTTCTAAAAGGGCCTACTAACTTATCAAGACCTAAATAGATTTAGGTACCTAAAAAACCTAACATTTGTGCAGGTAATAAGAAGAGTCACAAATAAAAAATGGTATCTAGACAGTGGCTGTTCCAAATACATGACTGTTAATAGCTCAATGTTCCTATACATGGTAGAAACTAAAGATAGTGGGGCTGTCACTTTTGGAAACAATGAGGAAGGTAGAATTCTTGATATAGGTAAGCTTGGTAAAAAATCTTTCAACTCTCCATGCATTGATAATGTTTATTTAGTTGATAGTTTGGGACATAATGTAACATCTTAATTTTTCTAATCCTACTATTAGTTATTAATCAGGGTTAAGTTAGTAATTAGTAAATGATCAAAGGTTGGGATGATTGATTGGTGATTTGTGTTGTTGGGATGTTAAATGAATAGATATGGGTGGAAGGACCACGTTTTGGAGTAAAGCGTGTGCGTGGGGTGAGGATTTTCCTCACTATGCCATGCATCGCGGCTAATACTGCTTGCGCCATGGTGCATGTTCTAGAAAATGACCTTAAAAGTCAGATCAGCTGGTGAGGGCAGAGAGGAAAGAAGAGAAAACACGAAAGAGAGAGGAGAACAAGGCCATGGCAGCTAGGGCAAGCATTTTTGGGGTATTAGAAGGAATTTTTGACTAGTAGCTTATCGAGTAAGCTTCAAACGATTCTTACCTCTAATTTTACTATAATTTCTCTTAGTATGAGTTATAAAGAAATTGAATTGGGGAAATTAAAGGGTTAATTTCTTACCTTATAGTAATAAAAAGGTTCTTGGGAGTTAAAATAAAGTTTTGTAATTGGTTTTGAGTTGAGTAATAGAGCTTTGAACCCATAAGCTCAATTTATCCCTAATTCAATTAAAGTTTAGGGTCGAAACAGTATAAAATGGGAATGAGATCATTTAAATTGATATAAAGTGGTAATCGAGTGATGAATAACTTATAATGGATAAGTGAAAGTGAAAGAACGGTAATTGTAGCATTGAGTAGTAAATAAGTATTTTTGGTCAATTTGATCAATTGACTAATAATACTAATTGTGTGTAAATTGGCTTAATCCTCACGTAGAGTGAGAAAGAACTTGGTAGAGATGAGTAGCGATTAAGAAAGTATCACGGGTAACCTTTCTTGTGATAGAAGGATTGTGGTAGCTAAATAACTTTCTCTGTTTGACTATTTATTGTAACTGTGTAGGAGTATGCTTATTGCATGAAACAGTTTAAAAATAAGCATGTTTTACATCATTGCATGGTTATCAAATGGAAATGAACTTTGATTAAACAAAACGTGATATTGTGCAATTATATATGTATGTATGTATGTATCTATGTATGTATGTATGTATGTTTGTTTGTTTGTTTGTATGTTTATAGTGGTGAATGAGAACTTGTTTACAGCAAAATCATAGGGGTGGGAGTTCACCCATAGTGTGGAGTGTAGTGAAAGACCATATGACATTATTTTCCTTAGTACCCGACAGGGTGCGATATTGGAGAATTATATCTTCTTAGTGTATTTTGAGGTGTGGTGTTGGAGATTATCTCCTTAGTGCCTATTAAGGTGCAATGTTAGAGATCTAGACTCCTTAGTATCAATATGATGTAGTTTTAGAGTCAACGACACGCATTGTGTGTATTAGGAGAAACCATAGTCCGAAAGTATGATAGAACACCTTTAGTTAGGTGATTCTACCATTGAAGGTGAGTTCAAAACTAATGAGAGTGTATATTGGTCTACGTCAAGCCTATGGTTTCAAGTTGGGTTGATTTGGAGGTTCGGTCAATAGCGATCATGCTGTATGTTAGTAAAGTATTGAAAAGTGATGAAATACGGTGATTGTAGTTTCAAAGTGGTGAAATGTATTGATGAGATTTAAAGTAAAATATATGTTATGTGTTATGTTTAATTGTATATTAAGTTATACTTTCTTTATTCTGTTATTGAGATTTTTATCTCACCCCCGTGATCACATTTTTACAGGTTCCAATAGTGAGCAGGGCAAGGAGAATGAGTTTAGACCGACATAGCTGTGCCGTTA